TTGAGCACCTGGCTGAGGTGGTGTTTTGTCAGGTATATCCATTATAAAGTTACTCCTTCACCCACCAAATTAAACTCTGTAAGAAAGTCTATGTGCAGACCACACTTAAGGCCTGGAAATTTCTATTCCCTTGAACATCTTCTTGTGCATGTCATTCAAGTTATCCTCTTTGGTGAAATGTCTCTTCATGCCTTTTTGTCCATTTTCTAATTGGATTATGGTTTTTATTTACTGTTAAGTATTGAAAGTTCCTAATACATATATTCTAGATATGAGCCCTTTATGAGATATGTGGTTTGGTAATACTTTCTCCCAGTCTATAGTTTGTCTTTCCATCTTCCTAACAGGATCTTTCAGAGATAAAAAGTTTTTATTAAGTCCAGTTTATTTTCCTTTCCTTTTGTGGACAGTGTTTTTGGTGTCATGTCTAGGAACTGTTCACCATGCCCTAGGTCGTGAAGACTTTATCTTGGGTTTCTTCTAAAAGTTTAGTAGTTTCACATTTCATATTTAAATCTATTATCTGTTTTAAAGATTTTATTTATTTATTTGACAGAGAGAGATAGCGAGAGCAGGAACACAAGCAGGGGGAGTGGGAGAGAGAGAAGCAGGCTTCCCGCCAAGCAGGCTTCCCGCTGAGCAGGGAACCCGATGTGGGGCTCGATCCCGGGACCCTGGGATCATGACCTGAGCTGAAGGCAGACGCTTAACGACTGAGCCACCCAGGCACCCCTCTATTATCCATTTTAAGTTATCTTCTGTATAAGGTGTGAGGATTAAGTTAGGGTCTTTGGCTCTCTTTTTTTTTAAACTTATGGATGTCCAGCACCATTTGTTGAAAATAAGACTCTCCTTCCTCCACTGAATTTTTTTTTCATTGGGTCAAAAATCAGTTAAGCATATTTGTCTGGGTCTATTTCTGCATTTTCCATTCCACTCCAGTCATTTATATGTATATCCTTCTGCAAATACCACCCTGTTTAAACTACTGTAGATAAACTATGCTTTAATATCAGAAAAAATGATTTCTCTTGTTTTTCAAGGTTATTTTAACTATTCTACTTTCTATATAAAGCTTAAAATAAGATTTACTGTGTCTACAAAAACCTTTCTGTGAGTCTGGTAGAACTGTATTAAACCTATTGATCAATCTAGGGAAAACTTACATCTTTATGTTGAGTTTCAAATCCTTGAACATTGCATGTCTCTTCATTTATTCAGATCTCTTTTATCAGCATTTTGTAGTTTATAGCAAACACATCCTGTAATGTTTTGCTAGATTTATACCTAAATAGGTCATTTCTGGAGGATCAACTGCAAATGCCATTATGTTTTCAATATCAGTTTGCACAAGTTCATTCCAAATATCTAAAATTAAAATTGATTTTTGTGTGCTGACAGTGTTCTTGCTGAACTCATTTACTAGTTCCAGTTTTTTTTTTTTTTGTGGAATCCTGGAGATTTGTATGTAGACAGTGATGTCATTTGCAAATAGAGACAGTTTTATTTATTCCTTCCCAACCCATATAGTCCTTTATCTCTTTCTTGACTTAACGTGGTGTCTAGAACTTCCAGTACTAACGCTGAGTAAGAGTAGTGAGAGAGAGATCAGAGGACAGCCTAGTCTTTTGGCTAATCTCAGGTAGAAAGCATTCAGTCTTTCACTGTTAAATATAATGTTAGTTGTAGGTGTGTTGCAGACTTTTTATCAAGTTAAGGAAGTCTTCTTTCCCTGTTTTTGAGAGATTATGAAAAAGTATTGAATTTTATCAAATAATTTTTCTGCATCAGTTGATATGATTATGTTTATTTTTCTTCTTTAGCTTTTGCTATGGGTTGAACTGTGTCCCCTCAAAAGACATGTTGAAGTCCTAACCCTTGTACCTATGGAGGTGACCTTATTTGGGAAAAGGGCCTTTGCAGATGTAACTGAGTCAAGAAGAAGTCTTACTGAATTAGAGGAGGCCCTAAATCAATGACAGATGTCCTTGTAAAGAGACAAAGAAAGAGATGAGACACAGAAAAGAACGTTATGTGAAGATAGAGGCAGAAACTGGAATGATGTAGTGACAAGCCAAATAATACTAAGGATTGCTGGCAACCAGCAGAAGCTAAAATGAGGCAAGGAAGGATTCTCTTCTACAGCCCTCAGAGAGAGCATGATTCTGCTGACACCTTGATTTTGGATGTCTAGCCTCCAGAACTCTGAGAGAATAAATGTGTAATTTTAGACCACTGAGTTTGTGGTACTCTTTTATGGCAGCCCTAGGAAATTAATACAGCTTGTTAATAATGGTGAATCACTGATTTTCAAATGATGACCCAGCCTTGCATAACTGGTACAAACCCCACTCAATCAAGGTATAAAATGTTATTTATATGTTGCTGTATTTAATTTACTAACATTTTGTTAAAGATTTTTGCATCTATATTCATGAAGAATACTGATAATTAGTTTTCTATATTTGTACTCTCCTTGTCTGATTTTTGTGTCAGGAAAATACTGGCTTCATAAAATTAATATGGAAATGCTTCCTCCTATATTTTAAAGATTTTATTTATTTATTTGAGACAGACAGAATGAGAGAGACAGAGAGCACATGAGAGGGGGGGAGGGTCAGAGGGAGAAGCAGACTCCCTGCCAAGCAGGGAGCCCGATGCGGGACTCGATCCTGGGACTCCAGGATCATGACCTGAGCCG